CACTCACACTCACTCACACTCACTCACACTCACTCACACTCACTCACTCACACTCACTCACACTCACTCACTCACTCACTCACTCACTCACACACACACTCACTCTCTCACTCTCACTCACACACACACACACACTTACCACCACAGCCACCATCACCACGATCTCCATTTTCATCACCACCATCACCTCTCTGGACCCCAATGCGTCTAGACCTCTAGACTTTCTGCTGCTACACCTCTAGACTTCACACACACACACACACTGTTTGGGGTCTCTTGCCGGGACAATTTTAATGTTTTTTCTTTTATCACTGGTGTCTAGCTTTTCAGCCCTCAGCTGCAGGAACGTAACGTATGTAGAAATCCTTGTTCTGTGCAGAACTCTTTGAACAGCAACAGCATTTCGCTGCCGGACATTGCGAGGTACGCCAAGGAAGGTTCTGGTGTCTACTTGGGTCTGTGCGCCACCCTGCTTTGCCGCTGTGCTGTAGGTCAGGTTCTGACCGTGCCCGAAGCCAGAGATACGCGGGAGGCAGGGGTGGTAAGGGCTAGGCCGCCTGGGACACTGCACCCAAACTATCAAGCTACCTGCCATTTCTCCAATCTTTTGAGCCTTTGTTCTTTGGAAAATATGGATTTGAATGATGCATAGACACAAGTCAATAATTCAAGGACTCACGGTCTTGAGCTGCCCTTTTTGCAGGCAGTTCGTGCAGGAGGCTTCGACTCAGTGTGTGGTGACCGATTGAAAGCAGTAGGCACCTTCCGTGAGATGGTCTTCTTCCAGGAGGAGGCTGTGTACCCCGAGTTCATTGTGATCTACACCCGTGTTTTTGAGTGAATCTGAGTGAGTTCGTTTCACGCCTTGGCGAAGAATCAGCATCGCGTCTTGCATGGCGGAACGTTTCAGCCTACTAAGAACAAAGGGCATCGCTACTGGGAGCAAGAAGGCAAGAAGCCACTAGCGCTCCTAGCATCACTACTAGTAACATGAAGCTACTTTTGGCGGAACGTTTCAGCCCAATCTTTAGCACGGACTTTCCAGTCTCCCAAAGGGACAAATTCACTTGCACGCCTGCGCACAAGGCGCGTTCCCAGAAGACACACAGACCGAAGTACAGTACTAGTCTGATTGGGCTTTCCGAATTGTGTGGAGATGATCATATCATGCTGTTGTGCAGTCGCCTAGGGTGGGAGGGTCTTTTCACTCATTTCCATGTCGACCGGTTGTTATACTTTTTTAGGGTGTGCATGGATTGAATGGATTTGCAACAACACGCGGATTTGATCGTATTTTCTGCAAATGTTTGTACCGCTTGAATCCTCCCTCCGCCTTTCCGTACTTTGTTTTTGAGGTGCATGGAAGTGACATTTCGTGGGGCATCGAAAGAGTCTAGAATCCATCATCTATATATTATATAATATCTATTAAGCATCTATAATCTGAAGGAACTCTCCTGCAGAGCCAAACCAGCCAGAACATCAGAAATACCACAGCTTGTACCATGCAACAAATCCTGTCAACAAACATGTTGCCAAGCGACACTCACAATGCTGAAAGAGAACGTATTGTGAAGGAGGACAAGGCAAACAAACATATTTGTAGGACTCCCCGACTTTGATTGTTCTGATACTGTACTACCTGACAATCCTGACACATGTGTTTGACGTGGGGGTCTCAAGAACCTTGAACAAACCGAGCTCAGTAGAAACGCTGCCTTTTTCACCGGCAACTCATTGGTGGCTTACCAGCGGGTTGGGTGATTCCTCGATCCACGGCGCCAGAAGGGACACATCCAGATTCACGGTCACCAGACGTCACCAACCGCTACTCCCGAGTCTCATTTGTCGCCAGGAATCTCTTGTCGTTGGAGTGGCCCGCCGACTGCATACGAGGCTGGCAGCTTTGTTTGACTTTCAGAATTTGGTTTGTTTGTCATGCCACAAGAGTCATGAACTTAACTGACTATATCTAAAACTACAGTAGTACACTTGCTTGCTGCCTCCTTCGGGTATGTGAACTTGTCTCCACTGATGGTGTTTGTCTTCCCGGCTGACTGTTTCTTTGTATGCATCACACTTGCAAGGAGCACATGTCTCATCAATGTGCAGTTGAGAACTTCCTCAAGCCATGCTGGCAAGTTTTGAAGGGTCTCGGATACGATACCAGCGGGGCATGGCTGCATGGCCAGATATTTTTCATGGAACCCAATCGCCTCAGTGGATTGCTACTGATTTGATGATATTCAGAGTCCCTGCCACCCTGGCTCACAAAACACTTTTCGCATGTTGGAACTAAGCCGTAATTCACGGACAGGGATTTGCTGGAATTGGTTGTTAGCTCCTTTTGTCATTTTATCTTTCCTGTTGTTCCAACACCACGGTGCTGCGACAAGACCAGTTTGCAACCTGAAGCTGTGTTAAACGCCCCTCTCGAGCATCAGTGGTCGACATCGGCCCACCGGAGGATCTGTTTTGGACCACAGTTCCACTGCCAGGTTGGAGAGTTCGGAGCAAGGTGCAACGAGTTTGATGCCAACCTCCGTTCAGTTAAAACAGGTAGAAGCCAAGCCGTGGAGAAAGGCTTGCGCTTGCCTCCTGGTCAAAGAACATGACCTTTGGCGCGGTAATAACAACAACAATGATGACAATCATAAGAATAATAGTAACAATAATACTGTCAATAATGTTGCTGGTGGTGCTGCTGCTGCTGCTGCTGCTGGAAAGTGTGAGTCACCACAACAGGGAAAGACAGGGGCTGGTGATATGGCAGTGGGACTGGACACCTGTCGTCTTAGACATGATGCTGCACCGATGAACGGATCCTGTAGAGGTGCAGATGCCATCATATCCAACGATAACAGTACATCTCAATATGAGCCCTGCTCTCAGAGTGACCATGCAATCATTCTTGCAAAATTCAAGGAATTTGCTTTTTCCTCTGCGCTTTCATGAAGATTGGCTTTTTGGGTTCTCCAAAAGAAACACGCAGGTACCTCCAAAAGCACGACTCGATGAGTTTCTTTTCGTCTTTGCTTGGATTCATCCATGCCCTGCAATGCCTTTTTTCATACCCTCTTCGCAAGGGCACATGTTTGAAAGATGGCCCCCACGAACTGCAGTTGTGCAATCAACTTTTGTGCAGTGACTGAGTGAAATTTGTGAACATGTATATCGAAAGACTCGTAAGCTTGTGTAGTGATGCGCAACCTCCTGTGGAAATCCTACGACAGCACAGCCGCGTGGAGAAGTGCCTTGGTCTTGTTGTCGTGATGTTGGCTTGGGCTCCTGCGGTTTTTGTGTCCAGATGCCCCGAAGTGGAGCTGCACGTGGTGCATGAATATGCGTGAATTAACACACAGGTTTCTGCGAAGCAGGTGAGTCGTTGGATCACGCGGCAGGTGAGCGGTTGCTGCACGTTGCCGTTGCCAGACCGAACCAGGAAGGTTGCACGCCGGTGAAGGCGCAGGTGTTTTGGTACTGTCTCAATTACTTCTGAACTCAGAAAGGTCTTTGCCACTGGAAAGATGGACAAGCTCATGAGTGAAGTAGTATGTTCCAAGCAGTGCATGTTGAAGGTACGGGTACTTCTTCACTGGCGATGAAGTGTTTTGTTCCTTTTATTTTCTCTTGGTGAGCCAGTGGTATGTTTCAATCGTTGGCTGGTGAAGCGGCACAGCTACAGTCTCACAATTCGTGAAGTGGTATGCTGTCGCCGCTGGTAAAGTCGTGCACTTTGATTGATGGTGAAGTCGCGCGCTCTGAGTGCTGCTGGAAAGCTACAATGCAACCACCAGTGAAATCGAAGTTTTGACTGCTGGTGAAAGCTCCTTCTTTGCTTGTTGAGCTTTGACCGGCTTGTCGACAGCTGTTTTTTCATTGATTTTCTTTGTATTGTGGTCGATGACACCGAGGGCCGAGCCTGAGCCAGAGGATTCTGTCAGTGCAGAGCCAAAGGCCACCTGTGGGTGGTGACTCTTGGGTCAGCTTGGTTTGATTTCTCTTGAGAGTGTTGGCAGTTATTCCCCGAGAGGAAAGGGGAAGCTGCAGTAAAAGTATTTGTTTTTTTCCTCCAAGATGAAGGGGTTCTTGATTAAGACACAATAGTTCAAATTGGCAAAGTCACGCAGTCCAAGGCCTTGTTCTTGGGCATATATATATATATATAGATATATAGAGTGTACAGTGTATATCTATGATATATATATATATGTATAGATATAGAGACTTCTTCGAATCCACGTGCAGGTGGCGCAGGCTGACGGCACCGTGACTGTGAATAAAGATGAGTGCGAGGTATGTGGCCCTAGTTGTGTTCTAAACATTTCTGTGTTCCATAAAATGCCGTGTGAAATGCCGTGTACTGTTGCTTCCAGAAAATGAGTCAATGATTGTCATGTCAACACAGTTACTGTATATAGTACGCATAGCGAATTCACAGTGTCTCTCTCTCTCTCTCAGGTGAGGGTTGCCTTGTATCCCTATACCCCTACTGATGGGGATGAGGCCATTGCACTACTCCAATGCGCTTTTTTCACGTCATTACATGTGACGAGGTTGTGTGTTTGCCATTGTTTGCCGAATGGAGATTTGTGTTGTTCCCTTAGCACGGTGTCAAAACAGTTCAACGCAATGAATGCCATTTGATCCAGAGGACAACATACATGCTTGAATTGAAGATATGCTTCAATCGTGTTTGGTTGCGTTGCCAAATTTGAGCCAATCCTGCTTTTGGTCTAAATCGCTCGCTCCTTGGAAAGGCACAAATAAAAATCGAGAAAAACGATCTCATCAAGGTCTTCCAGGCTCTCTGACCGGACCGACCGCTGTGGCATCAGACTTGATGCTGTCCGACTGTCAAACAGTTCGCTGCAGCCCTGCCTGTCCGCTGGGTGTCATAATTTTATGAGTTCCTCACACGCCAAGATACCCCACAAATCACAGAAAGCCACTTTCAAACCAAGCAAGACCAAGTAGGACTCGTAGATGCGACACGCCATGTTTGCGGCTTGCTTTCTCGAAGCAAAGTCAAGGACTGTTGGCTCCCGCATGAAGTCACCAGCACTGCGGATCAAGCAAACAAGCCACCAACACAACAAACTGCCTACATGTCACTGGCGGCTAGAAAGAGGCCCCGCAGATGAATTCGTATCGAGACGACAACGATAATTCCTAAGTCCTAACAACAGTAGGTGAAGGGTGGCCCGGTAATGCAAGGTTGCTGTGTGACTTCGCTATTCAACGGTCCACCTGTGTGCTCCTCTACTTTGGTTGTGGTCGAGTCTCGATTGCGTCTGAAGATGTATGAAGAAGTAGTAAGGCACTTGTTCCTAGTAGCTTCTTGTTACTACCAGTAAGGCACTTGTTACTACTAGCGTGGCACCTGTTACTAGTAGCATCCTTCCCTTGCTTGTCAGGTCACTGAAACCGGCTGGGCTGCTGGTGTCCGCATTTGCCCGTCTCTCAGGAGTTTCTGCAGATCGGTTCTTCCGTATGAAAAGCGGGCCGGCGTTAGTTCAGGGGCAAAGTGCCAAATAGTCTTGGGACTTTAAGTTCTGCACAGATCCACAGATCCCGACAGTGGTTAAGTTTTGCACGTAGTGTCACTAGTGTCACATATATATGTACAGATATACATATCTTCTTGTGTTGGCTCAAGCTGTTTAGCCTCAAGCTCGGCGGCTACCGGCCACCGAGCGCTCCCATCTACACGATCACCTCAAGATTGCCGGTCTCCACGGCCTGATCGAGAAGGGGGCGGAGAACCATGACTTCATGGGGCGACAGCTTTTGCAGATCCTATCAGGTCTGCGGAGGTGACAGATGTTCCAACTGGATTTGGGCCGACAAGATCCGTGAGGGCTATGTCTGCAGGCGCTGTGGGGAGAAATGGGCCAGACCTCCGCAAGGGCACTCCAAAGCTCCACCGTCCAGATCACCCAAGAGGTCAGGACGACAGCAGTTGCCGGTGCAGCCTCCTCCAGGTCTTGGCAACAAGCCCTACAAGCCGACCAAGATCCAGAAGGCCACTGGGGAGGCTTTGGCTCCAGCCTGGTCAACTCTTGACCCGGCTTTGCAACAACGCCTACAGGACCTTGGCATTCAGCCACCTCCTCCATCTCCAGGGCTGGATCTGAAAGATGTTCTGGTTGAAAACATGGCACAGTTGCCTCCTCAGGTTCGTGAGCTGGTGGAGAAATTGACGAAACCTTCTCCACCGACTGAGAAGGACATTGCCTCCAAGCTCAAGACTCAGGTCTCGCTCCTGAAGAACTTGTCCCACAAGAAGACGCAATTGCAACAGAAGATCGACCACACCAAACGGTCCTACCAAGAACTTCTTGATGAGATGAAGTCCATCCAGGGGCGCATCGAGGCGGAACAACAAGCTTTGACAGCCACAAGTGCTTCATACATGACCCTTGTCAACTCAGCTAAAGCTGACTTGGAAGTTTTGCCGGATGCGGAAGCAGGTGACCCGGTACATGCAGCCGTCGCCGGGTTTATCAACACCCTGGGGGTGAACTTGACTGAGGAACAGCAGAACCAACTTCAGAGCATGTTGAAAAGGCCGCCCTCTTCCTCAGACGAAGAAGCCAAGAGACGCAAGAAGGAGGTTTCTGAATCCCAGTCTTGCGGGTAACAGTCTCTTGGCCCTCGGCTTTGATGGCATTTTGCATGCGGGAAGCAAGTCATGTTGTGATCAACATGCAAGGGGATTCACTTTCGATTGTGGGGCTTTGCGCAATCCTTTTGCCTCTCCGGCTGCTTCAGGCTCAAATTTGGCCTCTCCGCGGGGTTTGGAGGGCTATGGGCCGCAGCGGCGCCGATCTCCTTTGAAAGTTTTTGGGGGAGGTCTTCCATCTGGTGACCCTGATCCAAGTGGGCCTGGGGAGGCACTGAGCTCTTCTATTTCAGAGCGGGCCCTCACGGGTTCTGCTGCCTTCAGGACCTCTCCGGGACTCACCTTGGCTCAGGTTTTGGTCGCTGCCATGGAGGACGAACCATCATCTGACCTTAATCAAGGCCAGCTTTTCTTCTATGATTTGCGCCAACAAGATCTCAAGGCATCTAGTGAGCAATACAGGCTCACAGGACAGCCACACCATGGCCAACAAGTTTTGGCAGACCTCCGACATATGCAGAATATCATCCACAGGCATCTCAACCTACTCAGTGATGCTCGGCCACCACTGGCCAATGTCTATGTGATATCGCAGGTTTTGACCACCTTCCTCCTCAACCCGGACGGTCAGAATCTATGCTTCGGCAATGCACCTTTCCGGTGCTGGTGCTGGACTGGGGCCTTTGCAGATGACTCAGCCAAGGCATGGGGACACCCCCAAAATGCAGTTCGAAGATGCCTCATGGAGTCACAGGGGCTTTTGCTGGTTCATGATCCTGATCTTCAACCCATCTGGGAACACTTCCCGCCGGGCTCCCAGGCGGATGCAGCTGATTTCGCCGGGTTTTTGTGGGCTCATGCGGAATCTCCTTTTATGGAGGGAAGTTCTTCCACCGGAAGCTTCAGGGCTCCCTGGAGGTTCGTGAGCAGTTCCCCTTGAACCTGTTGTCCCGGCTGGGGAGTCTTCTGCTTCTTTGGAAGAGCTGATCTCAGGTTGGGCAGCAGAGGAAGGGGGCCAGTTCCTCTATGGGGCTCCGGATGCACTCGTCATCCAACTTCAGAGGTTCCAGATGATTGATGATGTATGGACCAAACACGACAGGGCCCTTGACTTCAGTCTTCAGTCTGGAGGTCAACTTTCCCTTCTCTGAGGACGGTCATCATGTTCACACGGCAGCCTACAGGATTGTTGCCCTGGTCACTCACCAAGGAGTTGACCACCACACTGGGCACTACCAATCGCTGTTGCTCATGGACAAGGCCGTGTGGCTGGCTGATGACGGGCAGTACCCTGTCCCTATAGGTCAGGTGACCACTCAACACCAACGAGAGGTTCTGCAGCTTTGGCTAGTCAAAGAACCAGCTGATGAACTTGTGGCGGACACCCATGCGGAGTACGTCGAACCTCACGTCAAGAAAGCCCGTCATGCGCACGACACCCTCACCCTCCTCTTCGCCAATGGACGTGGACACGAGGTGATGCCTTCCTCTTCTTGCATGAGACTCACATGGCAGAAGCTGCCACCACCAGGGCCTTGCAGTACTACACCAACAGAGGCTGGAAGGCCTATGGCCAGGCTGCCCACCCTACTGGCCAAGGAGGGCACGCGGGCGGCTTTTTGACTTTGCACTCTTACGCACCACGCGGCTGACTTTCTTCACGAGGGCAACGGGTGGACGGCACTGGGACTGCAGCGACAAGGTCTCATGATATTCCTCATTCAGATCTACCTCAAGACAGGAGAGACCTTGCAGTCACACAACAACTCCCTCATTGTCAGCAACCTCATGGCCTTTCTGCACCACTTGTGGACACGGGAGGATGCACTACCTTGCAGGGCAGTCAACTTGATTTTCTTCTGGTCTCCAACTCACTACAGTCGGCTGTCAGGCTGGAGGCCTGTTGGGATGTTCCCTGGCGACCTCACTGTGCCTTGCAGGTTTACCTTGACTGTGATCAGCCGGCTCAAGAAGTCCAACAACTTCAGCGGTTCCCACCGATTGGTCACACTTTTCAGCTGCCACACCAATGGACTAGCTTTCAGGAAGACAATTGCCCCTTCTACATCATGAATGACCTCATCACAGGCCTTGGCTCCGACTTGGCCCGGTGGGCCACTCAGACTGAGAAGTACATCACCCAGATGCTTCACAAGCCTACTCTGGGCAGAGGATCCAACATCAAGTTGACCACCGCTCCCCTTGTTGATGCCTCCACTTCGAGGAAATGGCTTCGAGGCTCTGTGGCCTTTTGGGAGAAACTCAATGTACGACTCAATGTAGTCCACCACTCTGGACATCGAGGAGTCACTCAGGACATTCTTCACATGCTCCAGGACGTCACCCAGTTCTGCTCTGAAGACTTTTCAGCTGACGTCTTTGTGGCCTTGGTCGCACAATGGCTTCAACATCCCGCCTCTGACCCGGGCGAGATCCGTGCCCAGATCCTGGAACAGGAACATCTTGCTCAAAAGCAGGCTCTGCACTCCACCAGTCTGGAATTCCACGAGTGGCTCAAGAAAGCTCACCATCATGGACTCCGTGGCCTCTTCCGGAGTCTACGCCAAAGGGAAGGCGTGGCAGAGACCTTTCCAGGACCTCCCGGCTTTGGAGCGAATCACTGCTCGTGAGAGGCAGTGGGGAGACATTTGGCATCCCCTTCCGGCTCAGGCCCACATCCGAGGTCTTGATCAACTTCGTGATCTAGCTCAACAAGAAGCTCTCACCTGGAAACCGATCGACTCTTCGGTGCTTCAGAAGCTCTTGCGGCGCCTCCCAAACAAAGCGGCTGGACCGGATGGAGTCTCCTACGACACCTGCCCTACCCGGCGGTTCACCGTCTGGCGGCCCCCTCACTGAGATGGAAAGAGCAGCTCTCTTGCCCACCCAGATGACCTACACCAACATCGTTCTCATTCCCAAGAGTGCCAAGGTCGAGCGGCCCATTGCCCTTACCTCTTGCCTGTACAGGGTTTGGAACTCCTACAGGAAGCATGACATCCAGCGCTGGCAGTTGACTTTGGATGATGATCTCCCTTGGGATCAGGCCAGGCCCAAACGAGATTGCCTCTCCATTGCTGTGGGACGCATGCTGAAGTCGGAGACGGAAACATCAAGGCATCCACACCGTGACATGCTTGGCTGACTTGTCCTGCTTCTATGACACGGTCAACTTGGACAGCGTCATTGAGCCGGCTGCAGAGCTCAACTATCCACCGGTGCATCTCAAGTTGGCTCTGGATCTCTATGCTGGTCCTCGTTTGCTTCAAGCAGAAGGCATTGCGGGGGATCCGAGGCACTACTCCCATGGCATTTTGCAGGGTTGTCCTCAGGCTCCTGCCATCAGCAAGCTCATCCTCTACAAGCCGCTCAAATCTCTGCAGAAAGCTCACCCGGCGGTGGCTGTCTCTTATGATGTCTGTGGCACGGATCCTGACTATGTTGCACGGGAAGCCATCTTGGCCTACAGATCCCTTCGTGATTTTCTCACCGAAGCTGGACTCAAAGTCAACACTGACAAAACCGGCTTCTTATCCAGCAGCAAGGAGACAGCCCGGGCCTTGAAGCTTCATTGACCACGGAAGATCCCCAGCACCACAATGTTCTGCGTGATTTGGGAGTGGATGCCACTGCAGGACGCCGCCGGAGGATCACTCAGGTCAAAAAGAGACTCCTGAAGGGCAGAGGCCGAGCGGGCATTCTACAGAGACTGAAGCTTCAGAGGAACATCAGCCACCGCATCCACAAGAGTGCAATCCATCCGGTCATGTCGTGGGGGGCTCAAGCGAGCGGACTGGCTCCACAACGACGGCAATACATCCGGGTGATGGCTGCCAGAAGTCTTCAGCTCCAACGGTCAGGATCAGTTGATGTGGTCTTTGACATGCATCCTCATCAACCGGACCCGGGCGATTCCATCATCCAGCAGCACCTCCACTCGGTTTGGAAGATATATCACTCTTTCGATGAGAGCACGCAGCACCTCTTTTGGACAAGCTGGAATGTTGCTTTGGGAGCCCTCCAAAAGGTCCGCTACCGTTGGCAGGTCGTCTCAGGACCACTTCAGGAGGACAGGTTATGGTGGCATTCCAGACTGCATCCTGAGCCTCGAGGATGGCTGGCCTGAGCTTCTCCACAAGTTGCAGACTGAATTCCGGCGGCAACGTCTCCTCAGACTGACCGGGTACGAGGGATGCCACGACTTGGAAAGGCCGTTGGATTGGCAGGTCAGTCTGACTTTGCAGCAGATGGCGGAGAAGAACGGACCTGCTCTCAGGGCGCTTCATCAGGGCACTCTCCATGGGCAACAGGGTCATTGCCCACTCTGCGGGGAGGATCTCACCTTCACCCACTTGCTCTGGCAGTGCAGGTTTTGGAAGGGCAAAGTCAAGGACATCCCTGAGCAATGGAAGCAACGGCTTGCTGCGGGCACGGAACCTGAACTCTGGCAGAGGGGTATGGTGCAATCCATCTTCTACATCCAGGAAGGGGGCATGGGCACCTTTCAACATGAAGGCACCTGGACCATGGAGGAAGCCTTCGCCATCCCTGCTGAGCATGCCATTTCTTTGGCGGTGGCACCAACCTGCAAGGACGTGAGACACAAACGTTACGTTTTCGTGCTCTGCATGCATCAGGTCTTCTCCAAGAGACGGGTGGCGGCTCTCAAGGGCATCTGTCCAGGTCAGGCCACCAAGAGCAGGGCCATCTTCTATGGCCTCAAGCACCTGGCTCTGCACAGCAAGGAGAAAGTGCATGTGGCCATCTTCGACCATGGGGTTTGGAAGGCATGGCAGCCCACTGCTGCTTATGAGCTGTTCCCTGACCTTTACCAAGGCCTGGATCCTGAAGACTTTGCTCAGGTACGCCCACTCCTCTTCTCCAAGAAGGAGCAAGAGTAGAATGGCAACCGAAAGGCCTTCCAAGAGGATGCCGACAGGCTGGCTCGCGCCTTTGCAAAGACCTCCCGCAACGAGGAGATCCTTGATCTGCAAAAGCACATCGATGAGGACACCAGGGACGTGCTTTGTGTTGCTGCCACGAGGATGCACATCCTTCTCACGGACAAGTCCCACTTCCTTCATCAGGCCAAGCCGGCAGACTCTCCTCACAAGGTTCCTTTGGTCGAGCAAAAGAGGGCCCTCCTCAAGCAGCTTGAAATTCGGCCTGACATGGGGGGGCACTCTTGGCAGAGCTTTCGAACAGGAGTGAGATGTGACTTTTGCAAGCACCGTCTTCATGCCAAGAGCCTCCCAGCTGATCTCCGAGCTGCCCTGTGACATGGCGGCCCCTGTCTCGCAGCAGCGCAAGACCCGTTTTCAGGTCATCGACGAGCTGATAGCTGCCCAGACTGGAGTTCAGCAAGGAGTGCATCATTTGAAGCTTGACAAAGCTTACCTTCGGTGTACGGAGTGTGCTGGGTACATCCTTGCAAGATGCAACGAGGATGCGTTCACCAGCTTTGTGAGTGGGGCATGCTTGGTTGGACCATTGGATCCATCACACTGGAGCGGCCACCCCTCGCACACAATGAGCCGCAAAGGCACTGTGGCCCGCTGCACGAGGTGTGGTGGGAGTGGACGCATCAGGGACTTCAACGTCGAGCTCAACGACAAGCTCCGGAAGAGGTGCATCCACTCAGGGTCAAAGGACCTTCGAGCCTGGTTCACGTGAGGCACACTCTAGCCCGAAAAGAGGCGTGCAAAAAACAATCTTACTTGTGTCATCACGCATTATGTCTTTGGGGAGTCAACTGTAGAACCATTCCTCTTTTCGTGAGTAAGCTTTGATTTGCACAGTTTCATGGACTTGCCACATGTGTGTCGGCCTTCTTCAAACCGGGATGGTTGTGGACCTTATTTTGCTGCTCCATGAAAAACCTCAAGGCCAAGGCAATGACCGCTTGTGTAACATGGCGGTAACTCTGAATCTATATCTCACCCTAGACTCTAGTCTACAGATTTGTGAAGCATCTCCATATGGGGGTTTATTAATGAACAGTCAGCGTTAGGCACCATGAAGATTTGCGAACACCAGGAGAAAGGTTTCCGCTGGTGCATGCCATGCATCTGTTAGATCCAATAGACACATCCTATTCAAAAAAGAACAACATTTAAGGTCAGCTCAGTGATACAATATTGGACTACCTTCAAATCTGGCTCAGTATCACCACACCTTGCAAAAATGCAGGCCGACAGCCAGCACTGTGTTGTTTGACTTCGTTTCGAGGTCCAAAGACAAGGCAAGAGCAAGGAAGCGCAGGATGGTTTCCAGTTGGCTATTTGCAACCGGCGCAGGGCGTCTAGCTGGCTTGTTCGCTGTGACGTCGCTGAACTGAGCAATATGAAGCAAGATCCATATGTTCTTGGAAATTAAATATTGGTGTATACGCAAAGCAGGTGTAAGTATATTGGGCTTAAGTTTCCCTATAAATCTAGGAACCAACTCAGTAGTAGCTTGCTAGTAGCTACTCTTCTACTTGCAAACTCTTCTTGCTATATATCTCTTCTAGCCCTTCCCCCCTTAGCAAAAGAATGCGAATGTTCATCGCCAGAATCCCAGAAAGTTCAGACACAGCAGCCCTGGCCAGGCGCATGAGTAAGACCCTGCAGCCTGTGAGGTTCAGATCCAGGCCAGGTGCAGCCTGCTGCGTCTACTCAATGGGTCAAATCAAAGGGCAGGAGGCGCTTTAACAGGAGCTGGCAGCCTACGTTACACATTGGTCATCCTTCTGGGACATTTCTAGAAACAGCTGTCCATCCAGCTTGGCTGGCAGCCTATTTATTTTAGATTGTGGCCTAAAAACTCATGTGAGTGATCCAGCTCACGGTCTTTTTCTTTGAGTGCAACTTGCCAGAGCTGGAGCCGTCCACAACGGGGAAGCAAAACGTGATGGACATGCAGACCTTCCATTTGAACATGAGGTTAGCCAGTCAAGCTGAGGTGACACCAAGAAGTTCCTGACTTGGTTCGCTATGGTTTGCTAAAGATTGGTGGTGTTGCCGTTCAAAGGGGCTTGCATGATGTTTCTGGTCGGGTTCTTCATGTTGAAGCTGCCGATGGTTTCTGAAAAAGACCATTTCTGCAGATTGTCAGAGGGTTGCTCCCTAGGTTTCTGACATGTATCTTAAGGTTTTTAATCTGCTTCTGAATTACCGGACAGGGTTTCGCATTTCGCATGGGCTCTGCAGAAGGTTCTTTTTGGTTTTGACCAGCATGACTTGATTCCAGCGGAGTGATGGGTGCTTCCATGTACTTGTAGAACCCTGTGAATGCATGCTAGAAAAGAGTATATAATGATTCTCTGACTGGGCTAACTTTCCGTTCAGAACTCCCACGCTTGACAGTCACTGCCGAAGGCAGCACTCCGAGTAAATCTGTTGAATGCAGCAGTACTAGGAGAGCAAACCATATGCAGGTCATTTGTATGGAGAGGTCATGGTTTCATAACGTTTGATACAAATGCGGAAGTGCATGCCACCGTCTGGTTGTCGAGGTCGGTCTAAATATGGGCCTCGCTTCGCTTGCTGGAGCGGTGGCGAAATGGCGTGCCTCACTGATGCGAAAGCTGCAGGGCCAAAGATAGCAAGAGAATCTTTGGACAGATTCCGCGGGCGGACTCCAAAATCAGTTGAAAGAACCATGTGTGGCACATGCTTCTTTTTGAATGCCCCCCTTCCTCACGCCAAACAGATCGAGTGTTCCCTGTTCTTCCTTGCTGTGAGGATTGCACGTCGTTCGCCTAGCCGTTGCTGCAAAACGAGGGAGCATGCTCGCCGAGTTGCACCAATTCAGCCATTGTATCACGGGGACACCGGGGACACAGTTCGCTGCCGGGGATGTTGGACTGTGGCTCGACTGTTTCCTTGTTGCTCTGGAACGGCAGGATTCGATGATTCACCCGCACCCTTTCGGAGTCTAAAGAACCTCAAGCAAGTGGACTGCTTTAAGGCTCCACTTTCTAGGGTGGAGGCCATCGCTTCTAGGGCGGAAGCCTTCGCTTGTAAGGTGGAGGCCATCGCTCCTAGGTAGGGTGGAGGCCAT